ATTATTTTTTTTACTTCAATAAACTAAATTAATTTAGATGTTACCACATGATGCACTCTTTTAGTAAGATTGGTCACACTACTGTACAATAACAAAATGGGTCACTTTTACTTTCCACATGGAATCTCCATGCATGACGACCATGAAGCACCTGGAATAAAATAGCAGTAGGGTTTTGAAAAAGATACGGCTGAGATTCAGTGGCCTGTGTTCAGAAAGGGCCAAACACATTCCTTTGAAGATTATCCTGTCCGCTACTAAAATGGCATTAAATCCCATGCATCACTCACAGTTCGAGGTGGGCAGTTCATTGGACGGTTTCTTAAGAAAATCCATCCAGCTGAATAATTGAAGTGTCTGAAACCGATCAATGAATATGCAAGAAGGGAATCAAAGTGTCTCAACCTCTCTCTTCCATCATTCTCCTGCGGGAGTCAACAGCACATCTGGGCTGCAGAGAAAGAAACGCTCATCGTACAGCACTAAAGACCTCTGCCTCAGCATGATGGGTATTACTGAAATGAAATGCAATCAAATTAAATCACATCAAATGTGTTAATGGGTTGATAGCAAGATCTGTGTGTGCCACTGCTTCTAATAAACATGTAATAACCATGCAGCACCTTTGACCCGTTTGATTAGTCTAATTTTAATATTTCTTGTGTGTTTCACTCACATTCAGATTCAACTGATTCTCTCCAGTGTTGTCACTTTAAATAAACTGAATGTTTATTGTATACAAGAAGCTGTAAGTCATCAAAGACGCTCTTTGCTTTGGACAGTTTATCTGTATGAATTGTAAATCCAATATAATTTTCAGACAGGCCTTTTGCTTGAACGGTCTTATATCTCACACCTTTACTCAGCCAATATGCTATACACTTGAACCAGGAAAGAGCGGAATTATCAAACATGGAAGAGGGTTTAGATTAGTCCATAAGGAGATTAATTTGCATAAGCACACACACGGACTCAGCTGCTTTACTGGAACTGGCTTTGCATGAATAAATGGCTGCTATAAGAGGAGGTTTAGAAGTATTGGATTTGTATCAAAGTTCATGCAAAATCCACCAAATGCAAATCATTGGTCTGGTGTCGTGTTGGTTATTTTAATGTCGGATATACATTTTCTCAAAAGCACACTATAGCTTTTAATCAACATTTATTAAATCTGATGCTCTCAAATAAAATTATGTGAAATATAACATCTACACTGCTGCCAAAATTCTTAGCTAAAACTGCTTAACATTTTAATATTAAATTATTGATTCATTTATTTTTTTTTCATTTAAAATAAAATAAAATAGGTAAAGCTCAGTCTATATGGGAGTAAATGTCACTCACCTGTGCAGGATATATGTTGTCTCTAAGACACTCCTGCAGTATTTCACACATGTGTGTGGCAATTAGAGCAAATATAACCTCTGACAGCTCAGAAATTGAAGAAGTGGCCCCAGGGTGCGTACAATATTATCTACATTCTCTTTGGTGCCACCAGCATGTAATATATATATATACTTCATTTCACAAGGCATTAAAACATTTTCCTAAGAGAATCGTAATGACCTCGCACACTGTGCTCTTCTAACCCTGCAGTGAGATCGCAGAACAGAATGCTACATTTTACTGTCTGTCAAGCATGTAATGAGCTATATCACATTATGCTGTGTTCATATGGCCCATTTCTTGTCATTGCTTTGACTTTTCCAGCTTTTTTTTTTTAAATATAGATGGCTAAAAATGGAAACATTCAACAATTCAGGTGAGACTAAGCTGTGCATGGATCATTCATAAGCAATTAATAGAAATATGAGCAATAAGAGCAGTTTTCATGGCACTGTCTGAAACCCTTTACAGTTTTTCATTTCAACAGAATGGCCTCAAATTAGTTTGATAGGGCTTTTTATGAGGTCAGTATGTAAATAATAACCGAAGCTTTGGCACAGGGATCTAGGTGGGTAAGAGACAAGAAAATTTTGAGATAACATTACTCTTTTTAGAGTAATGTTTCGACTCTCATTCTGACGGCACCCATTCACTGCAGAGGATCCATTAGTGAGCAAATGATGTAATGCTACATTTTTCCAAATCTGTTTCAATGAAGAAACAAACTAATCTCGGATGGCCTAAGGGTGAGTACATTTTCAGCAAATTTTCATTTTTGGATGAACTATTCCATTAGTGTGTGAATAAACATGCTATGTCAGATGCAGCTTCTGTACCACCTTTGCAGTGTAAAGATGACTTTTGTTTATGTTGATAAAATCCTAATCGATTGATTAAATGAATTAAATAAATACTTGAATAAGAAAAAAAGACAACAGAAATACAATTAGTAAGTTAATTCAATAAATTGCTCTTACAAAGATTTAAAAAATGCCCCAGAAATCAATCCCAGGGGCAAATAGCACCCCTTAATAGAAAACTAATTTCTGAGTCTGATACACACATAACTGAACTGATGTATGGCCTTACATGACTCCAGCTCCATTAATAAAAAAAAAAAAGCAACTTCACACCTTCAGACAGTCACAGAGGAAATTAATCACACATACCAACAGCTCAGTCAGGGTGGGACAGCAGGGTGGCTTCAGAAGCAGGAGAAGTTTATGAGGACCCCCTTTCTACACAAGCACTATTTAAAGAATCCCATCAGGTAGTATTACCACCTGGCATGGGAGCAGAACAACTCAGGACGGCAGAGACGTGCAGACGGTCAGCTGAGTATATGACTGAAGGTATAGTACAGAAAGAAGTAAGGAACAGAGCAATTAGTCAGAGAACCAACAATAATCGTAAAACAGAACGCCTGGTTTATTAAACAACTAGATTAGAGAGCATTGAGCAAGCTAGAGAAAAGGAGAAATTCAGTGAAGAAAAATAGGCCTATATTTTTGTTCATTGCTTTAAGGGTGTGGGGTGATTAAGTGCTTGTGGAAAAGGTGTGTCTTCAGCTGCTCCTTAAGGAATTACAAGCCACCCAAACAATAGCTTGTTCTCAATGCTGCAGTCAGGAAATGGCACCACATTCATTGGACCAGTATATAAATCATAAGGAGCTGCTTCTTCCAGGCCACCCATATCTTTAATGAGGACACTGCATGATATGGCCACGCACGAACCAGAACAGAAACTCTGTGGGCACCTTCATCAGTATGCATATGGTGTAAATACAAGCATATGTTGGTATATAAATCATAAGGAGCTGCTTCCTCCAGGCCACCCATATCTTTAATGAGGACACTGCATGATATGGCCACGCACGAACCAGAACAGAAACTCTGTGGGCACCTTCATCAGTATGTGAACGTTTAGCATACAAACAGCTATTATTCAATAAAGCAACATATGCTTGTATTTACACCATATGCATACTGATGAAGGTGCCCACAGAGTTTCTGTTCTGGTTCGTGCATGGCCATATCATGCAGTGTGTTATTTTAGATTTTATATACAGTATTATCAGTTTTGTATTTTATTTGATTTTGCATGATATTATTAAGGGACATATTTATTGGTGAATTTGGTGGTGGACAGTTTTTTTTTTTATTGTTTTGTCTGTATACACAGAAGGGAAGGTGAAAAAAATACACATTAAAAACAATTATACAAAACGTGAGATTTCTTTCGTGAGACTCTTTTTTTCACTCTCAAAACTTTTTTGTCCTATGCCACTTCTGTCATGGACAGATGTCTAATTATTGTGATTATACTGCATCCTAGTGGCCAGATATTGACAATGCATTTTACAGTGTATTTCATTTTTCATTTCCTGGCTTTTACCACAGGAAAAATAAATTGATCAATGTTGTCACTGATCAGTGATTTTATCGTTCATCTATAAGGAAAAAAAAAAGTTTGGGATCAGTAATTTTTAATGTTTTTAATGGAGTTAAATCTTATGCTCATCAAGGCTGTATTAATTTGCTCAAAAATACAGAAAAACAATAATATTGTGAAATATTATTGCAATTTCTAATATTGGTTTCCTATTTTAATATCATTTAAAATATAATTTATTTATGTGACGCAGCGCAAAATTTTCATCAGTTATTACTCCAGTCTTCAGTGTTACATGATCATTCAGAAATCATTCTAATATGCTGATTTATTATCAGTGTTGAAACTGTTGTGCTGTGGAACCTGTGATACTATTTTCTTTGATTCTTTGATTAATAAAAAGTTAAAAAGAACAGCATTTATTCAAAATAGAAATCTTTTCTAACAATATAAGTCTTTACAATCACGTTTTATCAATTTATCACATCCTTGCTGAATAAAAGTATTAATTTCTTTTTAAAAAAGTGAAAAAATTTACTGACCCCAAACTTTTCAATAGTAGTGTATAGTGTGACACAAAATGTCTATTTTAAATAAACACTTTTATTTTAACTTATTTATCAAAGAATTCAGAAAAAAAGTATCACGTCTGAAAAAATATTAAGCAGCACAATTGTCTCCAACATGAATGATTTCTGAAGGATCATTCATGTGACACTCAAGAATGGATTATTGATGTTGAAAATTCAGCTTTGCTTCACAGGAATAAATTATATATTTTAAAGTATATCAAAATAGAAAACTGCTATTTTAAATTGCAATAATATTTCACAAAATTACATTTTTTCCTGTATTTTTTATCAAATAAATGCAGCATTGATGATCATAAGAAACTTCTTTAAAAACATTAAAAATCTTACTGATCCCAAATTTTGAATGGCACTGCATATAGTGGTGTAAACTCCACTATTCTCTTTTTAAACTTCACTATTCTCAATTTTTTAAACTGTATGGCTAGTTATCATTATTGTTCTTGATGTGAACAAGCCTTTAGGCCCTAGCTATAATAAGCTAGTGAACATTTCATCCTTATTGTCCAGGAAAATAGAAATTCATTAAATCGTCTATACAGCATACCCCTATCATGATACACAGAATTGTGGTTTTATCATATTCACTTTTTATTCACTATACTACAGCTAGCTACAAATGATGCTATTTAAAATGAATTTTTTAAATACACAAACATTATTATAATTTATAACTGAATGAACAAGATGGTTTGAAACAATGGAATGGAAACTGTAATCATCCCTGTGGGTCTCTACTGGTAATCTGTCGCATTTTGATGGCTTGTTAAAACCAATAAATCCCAATGGAATATGGCCCAAAACACACTACAGGGAACCATTTGTTAATGGTTTATAGTTGATGGTTTGTAATGTTTTAATGGTCTTTGTAGTGGAAACCATTAGAAGTTCTGTGTTGGTTTCTATTGTTTTTTTTTTCAGCATGGATATAAAACAATTAGCTAAAAACGTGTGCTTTTTACTTCAAAATATACTGTATATAGTTTATACAGAAAAAAACAATCCATGTAAACAATGACTACAAATACAGTATTCACAGTCCTCTTTCAGCAAAGTATGGCAATTAAATGCCGTTTACTTACATACCGCTCTTTTATGTCTTTCAATCCATCGGTCATGCAATGTTTGTTGTGACTGCTTTGAGTTATCTGCTCATGAATCTCAGCGTCGGGGAGGGCACATCAGCGTCACGGGAGCGAGCACGTCGAACGAAGCCCCGCCTTCTCCTCAACTTTGTTGACTGCGGCGGAGACGCGCCAGCCCAGATCACTTGCAGCATCTGTAAAGGACATGACTAAACGGACAGAGAATGGATGCAAACGTCGTGGTACTCGGCACAGACAATGTTGGAAAATCTGGTAAGTTTATTTTTAGGAAGTATTCCATGATATACATCCATAAAATGCATTTCTTTCTTCTTCAGTCATCTTTTGCAACTTTAAAAACATTTTGCTTGCTCATAAGTTGTGTGTTTTGCAGCACTTATTGTCCGATTCCTGACTCGTAGATTCATCGGGGAATATGGGGATATTAGTATGTTGCCTTTTTACTGATTGATTCATAAGTTTTTCTTAATATTTTTACATTTCAGTATAACTGATACGCTGGTTTCTCTACAGAGTCCCTTTACACTCACAATGTTATTGTGGATGGACGAGAGCAAACTTTGAATATATGGGATGCGCCATATTCACAGGTGATTCAGTGTTTCATAACCAGATAACTTTCTATCAATTATTTAACCTATCTTTTATATATATGTGATCATGGACCACAAAACCAGTCATAAGGGTCAATTTTTTGAAATTGAGATTTATACATCATCTGAAAGCTGAATACATAAGCTTTCCATTGATGTATGGTTTGTTAGTATAGGACAATATTTGTGACCCTGGATCACAAAACCAGTCTTAAGTCGCTGGGGTATATATTTTGTAGCAATAGCACAAAATACATTGTATGGGTCAAAATGATTGATTTTTCTTTTATGCCAAAAATCATTAGGATATTAAGTAAAGATCATGTTCCTTGAAGATATTTTGTCAATTTCCTACTGTAAATATATTAAAACTTAATTTTTGATTAGTAACATGCATTGCTAAGAACTTCTTTTGGACAACTTTAAAGGCGATTTTCTTAATATTCAGATTTTTTTGCACCTTCAGATTCCAGATTTTCAAACCATTCATTAACAAACCATTTTTGGGTCACATTTGGCCGAGATACAACTATTTAAAAATCTGGAATCTGAGGGTGCAAAAAAATCTAAATATTGAGAAAATCACCTTTAAAGTTGTCCAAATGAAGCAATTCATATTACTAATCAAAAATTAAGTTTTGATATATTCACAAAAGGAAATTTACAAAATATCTTCATGGAACATGATGTTTACTTAATATCCTAATGATTTTTGGCATAAAAGAAAAATCAATAATTTTGACCCATACAAAGTATTTTTGGCTATTGCTACAAAATATACCCGTGCTACTTGTGACTGGTTTTGTGGTCCAGGGTCTCTCTCACACACACACACACACACACACACACACACATATATATATATAATTCATTTTTTAAAAATAATTTTCAATTATTTTTAGATATCCCTGGAGAAGAAAAAAAAAAAAAAACAGTTTAAACCTGCTTAAAATTATGTGGTGGTCTTAGCTGGTCTCCCAGCCTGGTCAAGGTGGTCTGTTGGCTAGATTTATAAGGGTTTTGGACACTTTGTGTAACTTGTTAGGCTAGATAAACCATCTGTATAAAAGCTTGTACAGGCTATAAGACCATCTTAAACCAGCCAAGTCATCAAATTAGCTTAGGCAGTTAATATAGAGTTTCTTTTTTATATTTAGTGAATAAAAAATATTATATACACCATCTGAATGTTGAATGAATACCTAATGTTTGTCTTCTCAGCAGGACCCGTCTTCCAAGTCCTTGATGTACGAAAAGAGAGTCCAGTGGGCAGATGGCTTTGTGCTGGTCTACAGCATCTGTGACCGAGCCAGTTTCAACGCGGTCTCCAGACTCATTCAAATGATCAAAACCAATAAGGACATTCTGGGCTTTGAGAAGATGCCCATAGTTATTGTGGGAAACAAGAGGGACCTGCACCACCGTCGTACGGTCCTCAGTGAAGAGGGCAGGCTGCTTGCGCTCTCTGCAGACTGTCAGTTTTATGAGGTCTCAGCTGCTGAGAACTACCACAGTGTCCTCATGGTTTTCCATGGGCTGGTGGATCGCATCAGGGAGTCCAGGGTGTCTGTGAAAAAGTTAGCAGGCATCAAGGGCATGGTGAAGAGCATGTCTGCAGTGTTCACCCGCAGGCGAACAGATTCGCTGTGAAGCTAATGGGAGCTCTGGAAATAAAGCTTATGTGATCTGATATGACCTATTTTAGATCCATTGAGAGAGACGAGCCATTGCTGTGGCTTGCATGAGAGTCTGGGATCTCTCATGTGACTACAGCTGGATCTTCCATGTGGGCAACTAAGAGATTGCCCTAGTTTGTCTGCTAAGGCGATGGCTTCCATTGAGAACATGTTGACATCGGAGAGTTCTCAATAAAATGCTTAAGATGCTATGTGGCAGCAGATTATACCAATCATAAGTGGAATGAATATTCCATTGTTTGAGGATAAATATATAATTTAACCTCCTTTGCTTGCTTTAAAAGGAAAAGTTCAGCCAGAAATGAACATTTGCTGAAATATTTCTCACCCTTAGGCCATTCAAGATGTAGATGAGTTTGTTTCTTCATCTGAGCAGATTTGGAGAAATTTAGCATTACATCACTTGCTCACCAGTGGATCCTCTGCAGTGAATGGGTGCCGTCAAAATGAGAGTCCAAACAGCTGATAAAAACATCATCATAATTCACAAGTAATCTACATAAACAACTGTTTTGGACTGTTTTTGCTTCTAAACTGTACTTGATCTGTGAATATTTCTCTTGAATCAGATGAGATGACTTTTACATTGGAATAAACATTATTATGGATAGAGGACTCGTATTTTAGTCAGAAGCAATGGTTTGACATTACAATGTCTTGATGTATTTTTTATTACAAAATGTGATTTGATGGCTGCATCGTGTTGATTACTTGTGGATTATTGTGATGTTTTTATCAGCTGTTTTAAATCTCATTCTCCCATTCACTGCAGAGGATCCACTGGAGAGCAAATGATGTAATGGTAAATTTCTCCAATTCTGTTCAGATTAAGAAGCAATCTCATCTACATCTTGGCTGGCCTGAGGGTGAGTAACTTTTCAGCAAATTTCCAGCTGCTACTTGTAAACAGGAAAGATGTCAGTGCTTCTGCAAATAATCATGAATGTTGGAAGAAGGTAAACACTGTGGTGATGACGGCCGTGGGAATCTTTCATGAGTCAATGCTGATGTGCTGTGGCCTAAAAATATAAGCTGACGCAAGACAACATTGTCTTATGCTACATTCATCAAATACAAAAGGCTCCAACAGTATCAGCTATTATCATTCAAGGAGCTGTTATCAGCTCAAGGCCGTCTTGCAGTTTAATTACAATGTTTGATGATTGTGTCTGTGTGCATTCAGATAACGGCACAGAATGTGTTTTTTCCCAGCTTCTTTTCTCAGGCTGTTTTAGTGCTTTATGGAGAACATGTATTGGTTTCTAGACCACACTGTTTAAAGGGGTCATATGATGCTTTTTCTTTGCGTGCACATTTGGGTACATTATGCAAATATTTCCACATAGTGAGGTAGACATGGGGGCGTGTTAGAACGAGCCGTTTTAGGGGGGCGTGGCAGAGTCTTAACTTTGATAAAGAATATCTTTTTGGTTTTGAGACTTTAGTCTTTGCAACTTCAGGGATCTTATCTATGCACGATCAGCTTGTAACACTCCAAAGAGAAAGGAAAACTTGAAATCGCATCATATGACCCCTTTAATAATTATTGTGCTATAAAGCTAATAAATCAATGAAACACTTCCCCTGAGTGCCATTGTACAGTGTAATGTTACAATCAGTAAATGAATATGCTGTATTTGTATTGAATACATTGTTACACCAAAACCACGTTGTCAAAAGTATGTTAACTATGGGTGATGAAAGATTACAGGTAGAAGTTTAAAGGGAAACAAATGCAATGAATACATGGTATACAGCTCACAGTTTATGTACATGTGTATTTATTTATCAACAATTTATCAACAAACAAAAAAAATCATATATATTAATATATATTCATAGACCACAATAAGGCATTACAAGTATGCATGTAAACATTTTGATCAGCTCTTTATGCTATGACTAAAGAGGCGTTTGGACAAATTAAGTTAATATTAATTCCATAAATAATATAACTGAATAGTGAATAACCTTTGTTGTAATGACTTGCTGTAATTTTCAATCTGGTATCTTTAAAGTGAACAAAAAAAAAATCTGAGGATTTCTCCACCTAGCACACTGTTTACTCAAACATACAATAGGCAGGGACATGGTAAAAATCTGATTATGAAGTATTTAATCTATTTACTTAATGGGTTGGTTTTCTTTTTAGCCGAGTCACATCTGTGCAGTCTTTCTTTAATGAACCTGTCGTGTAATGATCAAATCTCATTCCTCATATCTTGGTTTTTCAAGGGACGTCTTATTGAAAAAGTGTATGATCACCAATTGCTGTGACTGTTGAAACAATAAAAAAAATATTGAAAAGTAGCCCTGTTTCATTAATGAGATTTGCACCACCTCTGCAATTATAGTTACTATTATACAATCAGTCACAAATAATGAAAGATTTATTTAAATGTATTTATTTAAGTCACACCACAATTTCTAAATCAGCATTTCCCCCATAATTACACTAGTGATCAAAAGTTTGGGGTCAGTAAGGTTTTTATTTTTTTTGAAGGAAATTATAATTTTTATTTAGCAAGGATGCATTAAATTGATTAGAAGTGACAGTAAAGACATTTATCATGTTACAAAAGATTTGTTTCAAATAAATGCTGTTCATTTGAACTTTCTATTCATCAAAGAATAGAAAATACTGAAAACAATGCATCACTGTTTCCACAAAAATAGTAAGCAGCATAACTGTTTTCAACAGTGATAATAATAAGAGATGTTTCTTGAGCAGCAAATTAACTTAACGTCATAAATAACTTTGCTTTATTATGGACAAGAAATGGAAAAACACCATCCAGAACCTCCAAATGTATAACTATATGTAGATCACTGACTGTTGAGTTTTGCATTGGTAGTGTTGACGTACACCTCTGCCAGCTCTTTAGAAATCATGACCCATGACTGCTATGCTTAATGCTTTAAATGAACATGACAGACCTACAGGATAAATAATGAAACCCACATCCCACTCTGACTATTCTTCCATTCTCATTCTGCAGTAGGGGAGGCATTTCTGCTGTTTTGCACTGTACGAATGTAAGAAGACGATGAGGAGGAGATCTGGGTGCAATCTTTCAGACTCTTCCTCTGGGATCTGTGGTTGGATACTTTCTTGTTATTGCCACCAAGAACTACTTTCTGCTGCATAGGAATCTGTTTCATGACCTTCTTCTTCAGCTGACGGGTCTCCTCTGATATCTCCTTGAGTTCCGTAACCTTAAGGGGCTGCTTTTGAGAATTGCCACTGGGACTGTGCATGTGGTCTCCTACACTAGTCTCCAGCACCAGAGAGCAACTCACACATTCTTTTGATCTATCGTTTTCCGCCATTTGGGATCCTCCTTCTGGTTTGGAAGATTGCCTAGGAATCTGTTGTGAAAGAAAACAAAGCCATTCTTTAGTTTTCCACACGTGAAGGCTCTCAAAAGGTAGCAGAAATTATGGAATTTGACGTTCAAGCACTACTGTTCATTCACATGAACGTATAAGCGTTAAAAACAAGAAAATGCCCTGGAGCTATCCAGCTGAAGATAAAAAAAACATCTAGTATTCTTGATGTTCAGACAACAAAACAGACAAAGACTTCAGAATGAGGCATTAGAATATACTAAACTCTTTGAAGCTGAGTTAAATTTAAGTCCCACTCATATAAACACTTTGGCTTGCAGACTATTTGCTTTGTTTTTGATGGCTAGGACTAAATGTGGTTGGCCTGTCTCTTTCACTCGTTTCAAACATCATTTTTTCTCTAACATACCAAATGTCCTCAAAAACGGCATCAGGAAGGCACAAGTCACACAACATCTCCCTTTATGTGGACAGATATCCAGCTGCTAGAGGGCAGAGTAACTTTGGTGCCAGACCTATTGGAGTCTCCTCCTTTTGTCTAGCTATTTTATGGGATCCCAAACAGTCCCAGGCCAGGGGTTAATTAGGGAGGGATGGGTCTGTCTGTAGCCAATTACAGCTCTTTGTCACATTCCCTGACCTCTATTGCCTCTAAAGTCTAAGTGACTGAGTTTTAAACTACAGTGAAAACTTAAGATCTACTTAATTAAATGGATATTTCACCCAAAAATGAAAATTCTTGATGTTTTCTGTAAACAGAGATATTTTGAAATGATATATTTTTTCCAATGATTTGGACCCCATTGCCTTTTATTGAGTGGACAAAAACAATTGCAAAATATCCTCTTTTATTTTCCACAGAAGAAAGAAAGACAAAGGTTTGGGACAACGTGAGGGTAAGTGATGACAGAATTTTCATTTTTGGATGAATTATCCCATTAAAACTTCATAACACCTTACTTGTGTAAAGATATATTGGAAAACAAAACAAAAAAACAAAACATAAAAATAAAACACAAAAGCAAAACAAAACATAAATAAATAAACCACAAAACTAAAAGAAAACACCAAACAAGAAAGAACTAAACAAAACACAAAAAAACAAAACAAAAAAACAAAGCAAAGCAATACAAAACAAAACAAAAAAACTAAACCATAAACTATGCAAATATTTATTGCACAGTGCCTAAATGGGAAGGTTCTGGCACCGAAATTGAGGCCAAAGAAAGTTTCTGTGCAATTTTCCGTAGCCAGGCAGATCAGAGTACCTTTTCTATTTCTAAGAATGTGAAGAAACGTGTGGCCTCTGCTCATAACTGTTAACACTGCGGTGCTATCCCAGATCTTCCACTCCAGATTTTCCACTCAGTTACTAACTCACGCAGATCCTTAAGAAACACGCAGACACAAGCATCAACATATCTCTCACTTCTACAGATAAGCTCAAGAGCAAAAACAAAGAAACTCTTAGACAAAACAACCCAGATATTCATAGAATGATAAGATCATCTGTGAGACACGTGACTTAGTAGCACAGCCTAACCAAATTAAAAAAAATACATTATGTGTAAAGGTGCAAACGTGCCCAAAATGTATTTTTAAACCAACTCTAAAGCAAAGAAACTGAATTACTGAGAGAGAGAGAGAGAGAGAGAGAGAGGTAAAGGTAAAAGTAATTGAATGTCATTAATAAACATGAATTTATGCAACTGCACTCATTAGTTTTTGGTCAAATTGCTTCTATGCAGTTTGTTGTATCACAGACGTCATCTTCCAGCTGCTTTCTGGGTACTTTGATGTAATAATTAACATCTCTGTACCCAATTCTGTCACTTCACATGTGTGAATGTCTGTGCTAGCGGCCTGTGGCTAATTACAATATCAGACACATATCTCTCCCTCTCACTTCTACAGATAAGCTCAAGAGCAAAAACAAAGAAACTCTTAGACAAAACAACCCAAATATTCATAGAATGATAAGATCATCTGTGAGACACGTGACTTAGTAGCACAGCCTAACCAAATTTAAAAAAAGACATTATGTGTAAAGGTGCAAACGTGCCCAAAATTTATTTTTAAACCAACTCTAAAGCAAAGAAACTGAATTACTGAGAGAGAGAGAGAGAGAGAGAGAGAGAGGTAAAGGTAAAAGTAATTGAATGTCATTAATAAACATGAATTTATGCAACTGCACTCATTAGTTTTTGGTCAAATTGCTTCTATGCAGTTTGTTGTATCACAGACGTCATCTTCCAGCTGCTTTCTGGGTACTTTGATGTAATAATTAACATCTCTGTACCCAATTCTGTCACTTCACATGTGTGAATGTCTGTGCTAGCGGCCTGTGGCTAATTACAATATCAGACCATGTTTCCTAGAAGCAACCAGTGGGGTTTGTCCTACTCGTGGACATCTTCCAGTGAGACTCGCCTGCTGTTTTTCAAGGAATTCAAGACCAATATGAAAGAAGAAATATGGAGAACTTTGAGTGATTCATTATATTTTCTCTGATCTCATCTGGTATACACACTGCAATCAAGGACGGGGATCTAAAATAGCTTTTATTACATCTCGATGACTACTAGGTTAAAGAATCCACTGCACCTGGGAATAGGTATTCAGCACATAATGAGAAACTTAAGCTCTGCAGGCTGGAATCGGTTCAGGTCTTTATGAACCTGTAAATCTGAATGAGTGTTACTAAATAACTGAAGAGTTTTTATAGGGTATTTATAGCAATGACACATGGCCAAGTGTTAACTCAAACTGTGCAATTATTCACAGAATATGAATGATAAAGAATGAGAATTTATTGCAATAAGAGTTTTAAGGCTGAATTGATTTTAACAATGTGCTCAGTTCCAGTTTGACCTGCATAAGAGCACGGCACATAAACCAATACGTCAGTACCGTCACAAGGATAAAAATACAATCAAGTCTGATTAAGCTCAAAGAAGCTTGAGACTATAATCAAATTCATTCAATTAACTCTACATTCTCAATCTGGTTTGAAACTTTATTTTCTTAGTAGGAGGATTTCCTGTGTCAATTAGATCTGACCCCTTAATTGTGTTAGAATAAAGCTGAAGGAGGACAAAATAATGTTAATAAAAGCTTATGCACTACCCTTTAAAAGGTCAGTGTGGTTTTATTTCTAAAAGAAATCTCTTATTCCCAGCATGGCTGCATCTATTTGATCAAATATTCAGTGAATATTAAAGTTAAATAATACTGTGAAATATTATTACAATTTAAAATAACAGTTTTATTTTAATATTTCCGTGATGAATTGATGGCTGCTGCATTTTTAAGCAACCGTCACTCCAGTTTTCAGTCTCACATGATACTTCAGATATCATTTTAATATGTGCTCAAGAAACATTTTTGATTATTATTATTTCTGCTGTTTAATACTTTTAATGAAATTTATTTTTCAGGATTTAAGTTCAAAAGAGCAGCATTTATTTGAAATAAAAATGATCTATCTTTTGATTCATTTAATGCATCATTGCTGAATATAGGTATTAATTTATTTAAAAAATATGAAGAGTTCAGATGCAAAAGCCTCTAAGTACCGTCTGAAATTTTCATCTAAAATGAGCAGTTTTATCAGGCTCCTATGTTTAGGTTCAGTAAATGTGTTCTAATATGGCAATGTATAGGTCATTTTCTATGCAATTAAACTGAAATAACTAAACATAAATATAGGAGCCTGATAAAAATGCTCATTTTAGAAGAACATTTCTGACGGCACTTAGAGGCTTTTGCATCTGAACTCTTAATATATAGTTTTGAAAAATCTTACTGACCCCAAACTTTTGAATGTGTGTGTATATACGTTTCTGTTGATAGTCTCCTAATTACTATATCAGATCTCTCATCTGTAGATCTGTGACAGTTCTGCAAGCCAAAAGCACAGATTGTTGCTGTGATTCCAGCGGGATCATTTCTGCTATTTTGATATGAAGCCGAAAACAATCAGCTGAATTTTATATTAATGTTGCCTGGGTTGCGTACGTATATGTGGGGCGGAGCTATCAAAATAGGGGCGAGACCCTTTTGGGGTAGGGGTGTGTTTGTTTTGGTGATTTCAAATATCAACATTGGCTACCAGAAATCCCTTACTCTGCCTTTAAGGAACATTTATTATTATCAATGTTGAAAATAGCTGTGCTGCTTTAATATTCTTTTCGTGGAAACCATGATACTTTTTTCAATGTGTCCTTGCTGAATAAAAAAGTGTAAATTTATTTTTAAAAATCTTACTGATCTCAAATAATTTAATTAATACAATTGAAAACAAACAAACAGATTCTACTACTCCAGTTAAAAAAAAACTAAAACTAACAGTTGTTAAAACCAGGCAGGAACAGTTATCTCCTCATCTTACGATTTATAATACAGATAATACCTCCACCTCATCTGTTTTTGATTAAATCTTCATGTGGGCATCTCCTTTTCACACAACACTTCACAAATGCCTAGAAAACATGTCTGCACACTCAAAGAAAGTGAAACTTAACCTGCTTGACAATAAACAATACAAGCAGGATTAACATGATTTTCAATTAAATTGCATCCAATTGCTTCTGTTGGAACTGACTATAGAAGAGGCCTTTCATGGGCAGCACTGATGTGTGTTGTGACAGGTTTCTGAAGTGTCTACAGTGGAAGTGAGGTAATGAGGACTTTTACGGGACACAATAGGGTCAGACAACCACTCTGCCTAGCAACAGTCACAGATTGAGGACCACTGTGCTCCATCACTATAACTACCAGAGGTGTCGAGCCAGATAGAGGTTAACGGGTTACAGTTATCTGCTGTGCACATCTCCATGTTATCATTTACCTGAAGGGATAAAACTGCAGGAAGGAATGTAAAAAATATGGTTGTGCCATGCTTTGGTTATTTATTTATTTTTTTAAAAGATGAAGACCAGAGTCTGTAGAGTAACCCAACCAGATTCTATTTACAATTAATATGAAATATTACTTTACTGAAGGACACAAATCAATCTAAT